CTGGCTTCAAATCTATCTTCAGAAATGGTTCAAAAATTAATATTTTTAAGGGATGGATGCCAAATCTATTCATTAAAGCTTATTTTTGATAATTTGTAGGCACACTTTTTTGAGCAGTATAGTAACTGTTATCTTGAAAAAAGCTTAGTGCTTTCTATCATGTATAGAAATGGAAACCACTGGAATTTTCGGTTAAGGTGGAAGTCCTTTTTTTCCTGAATTTACCCAAACTTTCTATCAATGAAGTCTGCTGCAAATGTAGTGAGAAGTATGCAGATTCTGTTTCTGAGAGTAATATCACTGCATTTAAGTTTATGCATGTCTTGCAACAAATATGAATAGTCTTAATTATATCTAAAATAGAGAAGATTAATAATTCTTTTCATTATACTATATTTTTGTGGAGGAGAATCAATTTAATGTGAATTACCACAGGGCTCCCATATGTTTGAAAATTAATAACCAGCAGGTAGTTGAGAGTTTGCCAAGCCTTGCAGAGATGACCAGTCTTTCTACAATGATTGCTTTTGATGTTTATATTAATTACTGGTGTCCATAACAGCATGAGAACCAAGATGTTTGGTTTGAGTTATTAGTAGGCAGGTAATTGAAGATAACTCTTGGACCGTGTTCTACTACTTTGTATCTCTAGATACCTTTACCTTTTAACTTACTTATGAACTTCTATACATATTTTGGTAGTATGCAGGTCATGAAAATTCAGTCTTCTGATTAGAAGATGAAATGAGTGCTTGAGTTTTAACCAACAGTTTACAAATTATTCCAGTTTTCTCTTGCATATTGCATTAGTGTTGCATATCTTTACCCTCATATCTCTGAGGTTTTTTTAGGAAGCATAGGCTTCGTCAGTGCTTTGAAGCCTTGGAAAAATGCTCTTAGAATCTATAAAGTGCTGCAGTGAGTTTGTCCTTGCCTGTTTTTTGGGATGTTTTTAATCTTTGCTCTTGTTGATGGAATACAGGAATAACTTGAAAGCGTTCGCTGTTTTTGCTCTGGATCTATCAGTTTTCCTGTTTGTGCAAGTGGGGGGTTATTTTAAAAACACTTACTTAAGAGTTAAATGTCACTGTATGAGAATAGCTACAAGGCAGACCATTTTCCTGAGAAAACTCTGATTACTTTCAGCGTTATCAAAGGACAAGACAGGTTTAATATATAGGTTGCATGGATACTGGTTTAGGTACTCTTGGAGTCCAGTAACTGCACAGAAACCAGTGGGTGCTGCTTTGCTAATTTAAGTTGTTCTTGACTGTAATTGATTTTACTGATTTTACTAGTGTAAACCTGAATAATCAAATTTGCAGAGTTGAGTGAGTAAATACATATGCTAATAATAATGCACTAAGTTCTTTAGAAGTTATTAATTTGACATCAAAGGTATAAATGGTGGAACAATTTAAAGATAAGTTGAAGAATGGAAGAACTTGGACTGTTGAGTTTAAAGAAGCCCTACAGCTTCCCTAATGGATTTAGAAGTACCATTTATATTAAGTATTTTAATTACTTTATTTGTAGTATGTACAGCAAAATATCAGGTTGTATATAACATAGCCAAAAGTCAACTTGATGTGTGGTTTTATCTGTCTAGGTCTTCATCCTCCGGGCCCCCCGTTAGCAAGACCTATTCTTCCTCGAGAAAGGGGAATTGTGGATAGAGTTATTGAATATTTGGTTGGTGATGGTCCTCAGAACAGGTAAGCACTTACTAAGTGGAACACATACATTTTTAAGAGATAGAGAACTTTCAAACTTTTCTTCTTTTCAAAACAGAGGGACAAGGTTAGAATTATTGCAAGTTGCTTTTTTTCTATCTTAAATTTTCATAATGAGTAACCCTTTTGTAGTGCTTCATCTGCAATCTCTTTGTAGGAGAAGTGGTAACTCTTGAGGTTAATCTCCATTTTGAGCTGTATTAAATGTGGTAGAAAAGGAGAAATCCTCAACACTCACCTGGTTGAGTTGTTGCTTTCAGATTGCCTTCAGAATTGTCTAAGCATAGTAGAACTTCGGGTAAACTATTATCATTTTTTGTATTGATTGTATTCTAATGAAAAAATTATTCAGTAGTATGGATGTCATTTTCCTGGCAAGCCTGATAGTTAAAATAATGCGTTTAATCATGAAGTTTAAGTTGTAGCAAAGAATCTTTCACATTTTTTAACTAACTTTAAAAGTTTCTTTACAGTTTGAAGCCAAGCATTAAATGTTTCACTATGGATGCACTAAGACGTGCATCCAAGTTATTAGCAAATATCTAAGATAAGACACCACAGTAACAGATCTATTTTAATACATATGTAATTATATTGCTAATGTTTTCTAGGTATGCCCTAATATGTCAGCAATGTTTTTCTCACAATGGTATGGCTTTGAAGGAGGAGTTTGAATATGTAGGTAAGAACAGATCTGTAGTCTACTTTTAGTAGTCTGCTTATGTTTCATGCCTAGCATGCATCGTGTCTCCTTTGCCTCTCCTTGGTTGCAGTTAAGTGCTTAACTGGCACCATGAAATTCCATATCGTATGGGAACAGTTTTAAGAACTTATTACTCCATATCTTAGGGTTCACTTCAAGATTTTAGAATGCTTTGCTACATAAGGCCAAGGATTTTATGTGTAAAAAGCTATTTAGTAGAAACAAGGCCCTTCCAATACATCCTTGAGAATTGCTACTGGCTAAGAATGGTTCTCAGAAGGGTTTTATGTTGAGAAAGCGTCTGACATTAAAGTACTCCTCTTTTACCAGAACTTAAACAAAATTTTGCTTTGGCAAGAAGTTCTTGGAGGCATCAGAAAAGGAGCAGGAACAAGCCCTGAGGGGCTATATGTGAATTTATGGCTGACAATAACTTAAGACAGACATAGCTCTTTATTGAACACAGATGTTTTATTCTTGTCTCTTCTTCTACCACAAGTGTAAGCCTAATGTTTAAGAAATAAAGGAATTTAAGATAAATCTTGCGTTTCATTTTGTCTCAATTTTGTGAGAAAAAACACAGCCTTGTAAGAGAATAAGCTGAATGCTTCATATGAACTCTAGACATTAAGACTAGATGTCACTTTGGCTTAAAGATATTCATAGTTCACATGTGCAAGAAGGAACCATTTTTTCCTGTGACTTACAAAAGCATACATTCAACTGTTGTGGCATACAGTATTCTCCTAAACAAAATTTTTTGTCTTAATTAACCGTATGTGGAACAGAATGATCTTAAGAGTAAACAGTGAGTGAGAGCTTGAATTCATAGATTTTTTTTTTACTGGCATTAGTTTCACCCTTTGTAAGGGGTTGTTGTCTTAGGTGTTCTGTAGGAAAGAATGGAAAATAGAGTAGAGATTTACTATATAGCAATATCTTGTACTGAATTGTTTTGTTCACTGTGGTTAAATATTGCATAGTGCTGGGAAAAATGTTCATGGGTAAGGAAGGCAGAGCTTAAATATATATATTTAAGAGATAGATCTCTACTGAGCTCAAAATAGAGCTGTAAGGAACAATTTTTACAATTTTGATGGAGGTTTTCTTGGGTATTCTGTATATATTTCTGAAAGCCAAGGTGGAAAAAAAGAAATAACTTTCTTTTGATGTATTATTACGAAGAGATTGTTATAATCGTTGTATTAGAGATGTGCTTTTTGTGCAGCTTTTAGGTGTGCCTACTGCTTTTTCCTGAATCCTGCAAGAAAAACTAGGCCCCAAGCTCCACGTCTTCCAGAATTCAGTTTTGAAAAAAAACAACCCACAGAACTGCAGTCTGAAACTGAGCCTCTGGATACTGGAGAGAGAAAGCAGCAGGAGAGTGAACAGGCAGAAGGTAGGAACTCATCTTGTGAAATCTGCTCTTTCTAATGTCCAGTGAGGTTGCCCCACCTTCTGCTAGGTGTCATGTTTTTATTGATATGTAAGACTTGAGCGTTCATATTTACTTGTATAAGGAGTTTCTGCATAGGTGAATCTCATAAGAATAAGAGCAACTTCCTGGTGGATGCAGTTTTTCTTTCAATTCTTTTTTGTTGGCTAGAAGTAGACACGAAAACATTAGCATAGCTTGTTAATAGTGTGTGTGGTTTTCTGTCCGGTACTCTGAATTTCTTCATATATGTCTTGGGAATGGTGTCTTAACAAAATTCTTAACTCTGATGTTACTGATAAATGGATGGAAAATAGCATTGTAAACTATACACGTGGTTAAGA